AAAAAATAAATAAATAAATAAATAAAATAAATAAATAAACTTCAGTACCCTAATAGGATAAATGAGAAATCTTCAAAATATTAAATTAAATCATAATAATTAGATGATTAGATGTTACATGTTATGTTCTATAGTTCTATAGTTTGGTTGCTAAAAAAGGAAGCAAAGTCAAACTGGCTAGTTCAGAAGCAGTTCTTGCAACAGTACAGTCTAATAGGATCTAATTATTTTATAATCACATTTTCTGTTCTAATTATTGTATACCTAAACATAAAATTATGCTATTTAAATTTTTTTTCTTTCTTTATGGAGTTTGAACAACTATAAGAGGCCAAGCCAATGAAATTCTCACCTGAAATATTGAAAATGTAACCATATATATTGGTAAAAAGTAAATTTTAGAAATCTATTCACCAACTCTGAGGTATTCTTAATTTAATTACATAGCAGTTATGCTAGAAATCAAATATGTATTCTTATTGTAAGGTTCATAAATGTATTTATACCTCTGCATCTGTATCTATCCAAATACATGAAGGTAGGGTGCCATAGCATCATTGATTTTTCTACTTCACTCTCCCTAAATACTTCAGTAAGCTAAACTTAAGGCATTTCGTATTTTCACATGTGCTAAGTTGCAAAATGGAAGGTTGGGGCAAAATATACTTTAACATCATTTTGAGTTAGAATTTGAATGGTGGGAGATGATAAAACACAATGTTAGATGTCAATTTATTTAACTTTGATGTTGGAATGAGAGAATTATACTCATTCGGACAACAATATCAAAGTCAAGGTACCTTGCATGTATTGTGTGTAGCTTCCAGATGATCTGCTAGGACAGAATCCTTCACTTCCCAAATAAATGTGATGGAGCATTTCAAATGCACATTATTAGTCATCACTCCTTTGTTAACTTTTTTTAGTTTTATAGACTTATTTCCAAACTCCACAGTTTATTTCTATTTTTTTTCCTTAGCAAGTGGACAAAGTTAAAATGAAAATGATTATAAATAGGGCATCCCTCCAAAGTTGGAGAAAAACAATCTTTTTTCCACTGGAAGAAAAACTTTCCATTCCAACAAAATAAAAGTCTTCTACAGATTAAGATTTTCTTGCCAGTATTTAAAAATTTAGCATTGGCAGAGGGAGGGGGGATCTTTTGTTAGATTACTCTTGAATTTAAAAAAAAAATGTAATTGCTATGAATACAAGTAACATAGGCCTGTCTGACAAGCAGAGTGACAGTTTGAATTCTAAAATATGTCACACTTATATTTGAGTCTAATTTAATTTTTCCTCTACCAGCAGGGTATCCTGAAACAGATGCTTTTAAGAATGTCATACTAATCTGTTTATCTTGCATTGCTGTGCTTTTTTTCTCTTTCTTTTTCTTTCTTTCTTTCTTTCTTTCTTTCTTTCTTTCTTTCTTTCTTTCTTTCTTTCTTT